GTACAAAATGCCCCCCCCCGTCGACAAACAGCGCCGTAGACGTGCCTTCAAGTTGCTTGTTCGTGTGTGTGTGTGTATGTGGTTGCTTTACCGAGCACGTGATTTTTTTTGATTGTAAGACGTAAAGACTCTAAATTGAATAAGTGATGAAGGGAATGTTAACGGAATATGTACGATTGTAGATAGAACATGATAGCGACTGATACGAGCTCATAAACGGTGTTGAAAGAAAGCGCCAGTAATCCCATAGTATCACAGCATAATTGAGCCGTTGGTTTCAGCAAGTGATATAGGGAATGGCCTAGGCATACTGACTACAGTTGATAGGAACTAGTAAGTGCTGAAAAAGAACTGATGGGAGGCGTTGAAAAAGATGCATCGCCAGCTTCATAACGCGCATCACAGCAGCAGTGGGACGCAAAGAGCTTGTACAGGCCGAGAATAGGGATAAGGGTATTGGGACAATCTTTTTTAGTGCTTGCACAACAGCAGGCGCACAACATGGTCTGGGATTTATCAGGTCGTAGTCTGCTACGGATTGGTACGACCCCCCCCCCCTCCGCCCTCTGTCCCTCAGTCTCTGAGTCGGAGGCGGGGAGGGGGTGGGTTAAATAGCTCAAGTGAGACAGGAAAAGCCGCGAAACAATACGACCCTCCCCCCAACTTCCTGCCACTTTTTCCAAAACTTCCCGAAAAGTTCCCATTATTTTTAGATTTTTTGCTGTCGAGTCGAGCGGGAGGGGGGTATAGTACGCATGAGACAGGAAAATCACAAAAATTCAGCTACTGCTCCTACAACGCCAAAACGTAAATACGACTCCGCCCACCCAACAGATGCCAAGTACCCCGCCCCCCCCCCCTGTACTCGATCCAGTGGAAGTGAGAAAAATCAACCATCAAAATAAATTTTTCCCAGGTCCATATACGATCCCCCCTAGCGGCCGAATACGACCACCCCCCCCCTTATTGGGGATTCCCCAACATGCCGTGCCCTGCCAATGTTTCGATCGCACAGACTTATAGTGAACATATTTAATTTCCTTTCCGAATAGAATCAAGCCTTATTCGACCGCTATACTATATCACTCCAGGTAGTGTCTGTTCTGTGGATGCAGTGAGCCAGCCAAACTGACAAGATCGTAATCAAAAACGATTACCTTTGGATCTGCACGTATTCTCTGGACACTCTTATGGGGTCCTTGTAGATAATCTTCCTCTGGAAGAGTGGAAGCGCGGCGTTTTGCTGACGCAACTGCTGTGGCGGCGTTGAGTCGTGGACGAGGGGTAACTGCTGAAAATTTCAGGCAATTTCACCACCAAAATGGTCTGTTCACAATCACAGGCGCGAGCCGGAAATCGACTGCCGCCTTAAAGAGATTCGTGCAAGTGGAACATATGAATGGCCGTCGCCAAATATGACCCGTACAAAACGGCCTCGCTCAAACACTAATTTGGCTCTACCACCTTTTTCAGAGAAATCGATGAAACTTGTATAATCGAGGGGGTTAATTGACATCCTAATCAAGGAAAAGGCACCTATTCACCTATTTCCTGCATGGGCGCTAATGTAGGACACTCTAATCATCTCTGCTGAGCCTGGACGGGAAGAAATTTACTCTTTCTCCCAGGCCAGCCGTAGCAAAGCGTTAGAGGACGTTAGTGCAAAAATGAACGCTATATTCGTGAGGATGACATCAAGGAACCCTATTAGGCTAGCTTTGAGTTAACATTTTTTTTTGAAAAAAAAGTAATGCCGTCAAATTTGCACCTAATGGCAAGAGCGTCGAAAACCCGTGTCACAGTCGTGATCAAGGCACCGAATCAATCCTATAATTTCATCAATTTTTTTGAGCTGTGGAGGAGGTAGCAGTTGAATATTAGTCAGCACAAAACTAACCCGTTGGCGTCACTGACTGTTCGAAATCGCTATCAAACTCCTGCTCACGTTCCTGCTTCACCAGCATTGGCGGTGATGCGCCTTCGCCAGCATCCGAAGAACATATTGAATCTTCGCCGCGTTTTCTGCTAGCTCCCTCTTCGCCGGGAAGTCGCGGTAGCGACCTATTTGGAAAAAGGTTAATTTTTCATGTAGACGGAGAGTCAAGAGGAATGAATATGGAACATACTTGATCTTTTTCTTCTTTGCAGGCTGGTCGTGATTAATGACTTTTCGGCTGATTTTCACTTTAACGCCCTCAATCGCCACCAGTTCACCAGTGAGCGACGCCGGCTCGTCTTCTGCGTCCGATGATCCGGACTAAACATTATAGAATTATACGCAAAAGCTTGGATATGTAGTGCCAGGCAAACAATGAGTTCAAGTAACGATTTTTATGAAATACGCCAGCTGCGGATGCAAATATCGACGACCTAGTTAGATTGAAGACCTAATTAAGAGCAGTTCACCCAATTCCTGAAGGGAACAGTAAAGAAGCCTACACTCGAATTCGAATGACAAAGGATGAGAATTTCATTGAGGTGTACGCTCAGATGGATGAACAGTTCAAGGAGGTATGGAATATACATTAAAAACATTAATCCCTATCGCATAGATGTTCCCTTCTAGGAAAGAAGAAAACAGAAGCGTCGTCTCCAAGATCAGTTGCGGCGGATTCGAAGAAACGAGGAAAAAGGAAAGACTGGGCATCCGCAACAGGTACTGACTTGGTTCCGTGAAAAGCATACAAAACTTCAGTCGTTTTTGTATTGCAGCGAGTTGTCGAGAAGAAGCCGATCCCGATCAAGCCAAACTTGCAAAAAATGCGCTGTTCCGCTTGTCATGGTACGGGTCATATGAAGACCAACAAGAATTGTCCGTTGTATGGCAAGGATCCTTTGAAGACTCCTGGAAAGGAAACAGTGGTGTGTATGAGATTTGGTCTTTACTGTTCCTTCAGGAATTGGGTGAACTGCTCTTAATTAGGTCTTCAATCTAACTAGGTCGTCGATATTTGCATCCGCAGCTGGCGTATTTCATAAAAATCGTTACTTGAACTCATTGTTTGCCTGGCACTACATATCCAAGCTTTTGCGTATAATTCTATAATGTTTAGTCCGGATCATCGGACGCAGAAGACGAGCCGGCGTCGCTCACTGGTGAACTGGTGGCGATTGAGGGCGTTAAAGTGAAAATCAGCCGAAAAGTCATTAATCACGACCAGCCTGCAAAGAAGAAAAAGATCAAGTATGTTCCTTATTCATTCCTCTTGACTCTCTTTCTACATGAAAAATTACCCTTTTTCCAAATAGGTCGCTACCGCGACTTCCCGGCGAAGAGGGAGCTAGCAGAAAACGCGGCGAAGATTCAATATGTTCTTCGGATGCTGGCGAAGGCGCATCACCGCCAATGCTGGTGAAGCAGGAACGTGAGCAGGAGTTTGATAGCGATTTCGAACAGTCAGTGACGCCAACGGGTTAGTTTTGTGCTGGACTAATATTGAACTGCTACCTCCCCACAGCTCAAAAAAAATTGATGAAATTATAGGATTGATTCGGTGCCTTGATCACGACTGTGACACGGGTTTTCGACGCTCTTGCCATTAGGTGCAAATTTGACGGCATTACTTTTTTTCAAAAAAAAAAATGTTAACTCAAAGCTAGCCTAATAGGGTTCCTTGATGTCATCCTCACGAATATAGCGTTCATTTTTGCACTAACGTCCTCTAACGCTTTGCTACGGCTGGCCTGGGAGAAAGAGTAAATTTCTTCCCGTCCAGGCTCAGCAGAGATGATTAGAGTGTCCCACATTAGCGCCCGTGCAGGAAATAGGTGCCGTTTCCTTGATTGGGATGTCAATTACCCCCTCCCCCGATTACACAAGTTTCATCGATTTCGCTAAAAAAGGTGGTAGA